TTGGTAAAAATTATCAAACTGATTTTAAAATACATATTAAAATGCAAAGGAGCTGGAATAGCCAAAGCAAATTTTGAAATATAAAGCAGAACTGAAGACAAACTACACGATGTCAAGATTATAAAACCACAGTGATCGTGACAGATGCAGCAATGGAACAGCACAGACAGCCTGGAAATAAACCCTCCTCACATACGACATCTTCATTAAAGATGTCGAAGGAACTCGGTAGGGACAGGATGGTCTTTATAACACAGGATGCTGGAACAGCTGGATATCCTCACACGGAAAAACTGGTTCGTGCCTTACACTTGTGCTAAAATTAACTCAAATAGATCACGTACCTAAACGTAACACCTCAAACTATAACATTCTAGGAGAAAACCTTGATGACCTCAAGTTAGGAAAATACATCTTAAATATAACACGAAAGTTGGCTCTATCAAAGAAAAATGTGGTAAACTGAGCATCATCAAAAAAGGCACTGAAAACACGAAAGAGAATGAAAGAAAATGAAAACCCCAAGCCACAGACAGGGAAGAAACAGAAATCATCAACCCGATGAAGAACTGGCAGCCAGAACACATAAAGAACTCTCGGATCTTACAAGAACACAACATATTAAAAACATAAGCAAGCTATCTGGACGGACTCTCCTGAGGGGACAGGCAGGTGGCCGACGGGCACAGGGGAAGATGCTGCCACCAGTCACCAGACCGGTGCACTTCGAAACCAAGCGACCCTCTCCGCACCTGTCTGGGTGCCTGCAACTGTAAGCACCAACAGCGCCCGCTGCCGGCAAGGGCGTGGAGGAACTGGAACTCTCACGGCGGACGGTGGGGACGTGACGGGGGGCGGGCGCTGTCTGCAGCAGCGACACACAAACCTACGACAAGGGCCAGCCTGGGCGTCGACCCAAGAGTGAAGCACAGCCCGCACGAAGACCTGCGTGAGAGCATGCCCAGCAGCTAGTTGTGACAGCACACGCTGCTGGGGCAGCAGGCAGAGCGGAACCCCGTCAGTGGAGGCGCGAGCTCTGACGCGGCAGGAACGTGCATCTCAGAGTAACCGCGGCAGCGGCAGAAACCAGACAGTAAACACCGTATGGCTCCACGTGCGTAAGGGTCCAGGAAATGCACACTTATCTGGATGTCGGTGGTTGCCTGAGGGCAGAGCCCCGCAGGGCCCAGGGCTTTTGGGGGGGCCATGTGCAGATGCTCCCACAAACTGGTAAGATCGCATACCTTGAATACGTGTAGTTGATTACATGCCAATTATACCTCACCCAAGCTCTTAAGTTTTCTTACTGTAAAGAGTAATAAATCAAATTTAAAACCCTATCTAAGCGGTAGAAACCCTGCTTCAAGTTGACTCAGTGTTTTGCTTTTGCAGCAGGACAAGGAGCTAAAAGGCTCTGACAGGATGTGACCTTTTGAGTCGGGGGTCAAAATGCACGTTCAGGCCTCAGATCCGAGACCCTCTGGAGTTTCCTACAGTTCAAATCTGGTCACTGGAGGAAAAAACTTATGATTTTGATAAAAGACACTGGAAACTGTTTTGAAAGGAGGTGGTATCGACCAGGACACAATGTGGGGCAGGCGCCCACGGCCACGCCCATCACAGGCCCTGAGCGCCGAGGTGAGGAGCGGCTGGGCCGGGGGCGCACCCACAGGGAGTCCAAACCGAAGTCCCCAAGGCCCGCCCCTGCCCCACGGCACTGCAGACCCCTCTCCCGCGACCGACGGCATCTGTAAGTTTGCTGCTCCCTGCCCTCCCGTCCCCGCTGGCCCCACTGCACGGCGCTCCGCTCAGCTGGGCGCGTGCCGCGCACACCAGTCTCAGTTACACGCTCTGACAGCCTGTAACTGGCCCGCGCACAGCGTTCGTGACGAGGTGGCCTGTGCTCTGCTGCGACAAGGGGAGGGAGAGGCATGCTCACCGCCCGCCGTCTCCGGGAGGCTCCCGCTGTGGCCCCGCGGAGCAGCTCTCACGGCGGCCAGCTGTGGACGCTCACAGCGCGAATGCTGAACGAGGCCCGTGGTGACATCGGGAGGCGCCGGGTGCAGATCTGCTTTGAAACACAAACCCAAGATAAAAGTGGCCATTAATTCAAGACTACTAAATCGTGGTTTAAACCCCCTTCAACTCGAGCTGCATGAGCCGAGCACCACGCCGGGACCGTGTCCCTGGTTCACCATGGCACACGGGCCCTTGGAACTCTCAGCTCCCAGACACGGCGTGTCACCCAGGGTGCGCCCGCTGCTCCATTCTCAAAGGACCCAGCCCAGGACCACGCCAGCAGAGCCAGGCACAAGGAGACTGCTGCCCCAGGGCCTGAGGAGCTGTCACTCAGAAATCTCCCTCGATGAAGCAGAAACACACTTTAAATCAACTGTTGTGGGAACATTTCTGTTATATGACGAAAGAGAAGCAGACTTCTATAAAACACTCCCACGCCCCCAAGAGCACGTCGGAGATCCAGAAGACGGAGACCGTTGCAGCTTCACAGGATAAACCTGCAGAGATAAAAATGACCCTTGGGGCCAGCGCAACACACCTCGCTCCTGAGAGGCAACAATCGAGTTCTCAGAGCAGAATGAGTTAGTGTCACATTTAAAGACAGACTAGCCAAACACAGGTGTGTGAGGCCCCTCCGTGCATGCGCGTCTCTGTGCTGCACTCCACTGGAACACGGCCCATCACGTCACCGTCACCGAGGAGCCTACAGGAAGGAAGGCGCCGTGTCTGCACGAGGACCAGAAGCTCTCCTCCCGTGACACTGACAGCAGACACCTGTCCACCTGTGACATCGGTAGGAGCCTGTCAGTGGCAATCCGTGATCGGTTTTATCTCCTAAAGAATGATCCTGCCGTCACAGACGGCCCGGTAACATCTAAAATTATTAAATTCTGATTGTTTATCTGTCATTTCATCACCAAAGCAGAATACAAACTAAGAGTTTTTTAAGTATATAGAAAGATGAAATTACATGGAAGCAAAGCACAAACGCACTACTTACACAGCAGAAAACACCATGTGGACAAACCTCACCACAAGGACAGAGTTTTCACAGCCTCGAAAAAGCTGGATGTTGATAAAATTAGCATTTTCGAGTTTGCCTAGCATCAAGGGCTCCCAGTCTAAAAAGAAATCTCCCCACTCTTCCAAGTCTAGAACAAGAATAAACGATTTCAACAGCATTCAAGAAAAAGGGCACGAATAGTAATCTTAACTGAAAGTACTTTATAAAAAAAAGAATAAAAATAAACTGCACTCAAAATAAAAATGAACCCCTATAAGCAGAAGCACTACTTGTAAATGCCGGTATTTACGTCTGTGTTCGAATGCTTTCTGTACATGATTTCCATGATCCAAAACCCAAAACAATGCAGGTTCTTAAACTACCTTCGCCTGGCCCAGTCCACCTCAAACTGTTTACCTAAATAACCTTGCTCCTTCTGCAGTGCTTTCCTCGACCCAAACTGAAGAAGTCTCCGTGTCAGAGACTCAAAGGAGGACTTTATAGTAGAGAAGAAAAGCGAGTCTTTTCGGAGTCCCAAGTTCAAGCCCGTGCACCCGCAAATGCCGAGCGGATGGAGCTCCCGGGCTGCAGGGCCCCGCCGACCGTCGGAGACTGTGCTCCGTTCAGGGCCGCAGGCACAGTGACACATGATCACGGCGGCGGCCCCCGCGTCTGTGCCCATGGGCAGCTCGCCTCGCTCAGTGCGTGGCCTGTCCTGCTGGCTGCCCTGTCAGCCCAGCCAGAGGCGCCAGGTGGCCGTGGGGACCGTCTGGCCGCCCCGCGGGGCCCCCTCCCAGTGCGCGGCACCAGCCCAGTGACAGGGACGTACCCATGGAGGCCGGGCGGACGCGGGCTTCAGCCACGGAACACCCGACTGCCTCCCAGTCCAGCCATGGGACCGGGCTTTGATGTACAGTGGCCGGCCTGCTGCGACCGCCCGTCAGGGCTCCCGGCGGCAACCCGCAGCACAGACGGCGCAAGAGCCAGCGCATCAGCCCAGGCCGGTCACAGGCACCCTGACGTCGTCTTCCCGCCACAGCTGCAACAGCAGGGTGCCTACGGGCCTCCCCGTCCAAGGAGTGCTCCCCGTCCAAGGAGTGCTCGTGCAAGGGCGTCTGGGCGTCACGTGCCAGCTCCGCACAGCCAACTACGCCACTATTTGTGTTTAAAAGACGAGATTCCAAGCAATGAAAGGTTCGCGATTTTTCCTTTTAACAGGGTTGGATGACTCGGAAAGATCCACGGCCCTGTGACCCAGTTTTGATGGACATCTCTTCAGGGTGAGGGGCTGTTTAACCTGGTTTGTAGGGAGAGATGGCCGGATGGCTGCAGTCCTGGCCCCACCCGGGCCAGCCAGGCACAGGGAAAGCTGTCAGACCCAAAGGCGGGGACAATGTCGAGGCTGTGGGCCAAGGGCATGCAACAGGAGCAAGCGCAGCCACATCTAAGTGGTGGTCCACCCGCACCTGCCACCCGGGCCAGCCCTGCCTCCAGAGCAGGAGGGGGCACGCCAACAGACACCGTACCCTTGTCGGCATCCCTGGGGGAGGCCACACGCCACAGGGTCTGAGGTGGCCAAACCACAGCAGAGCAGGAACCACAGCTGTGACCGAGAAGACGACAGGTGGGCCCTGATGGGCGGGGGGCCCCTGTGCAGGGCCACGGCAGCCGGTACTGACCTACATGGCCGAGGGCCGCGGAGCCTGCGAGCGCGCTGGCCAGTCTCCCTCCCGGCTGAGACGACGTGGAGGACGCGGAGGACGAGGTGGACGAGCCCGGACCCGCCGGGCTAAAACGGGGCCCCAGGCTGGAGCGGCTCTGCGGTGGAGCGGCGGCCAGCCGCCCGGGGCGCCGCACAGGGCCCTCGTCTTCTGAGGCAGACGACGTGTCTGTGGTTGAAACAACGACAGCGTCAGGCAGCATGGGCACCAGGAGCTGGGGTTCCGCACGGGCCCCCCAGCCTGCGCCACGACGCCCAGTGCGCACACCGGGCTGGGGGTCATCTTGAGGGTGGCCGTCCATCTGCAGGGGCCTGTGCCACTCTCAGCCATTGTCCAAGGCGCCCCACCAGCAAGCTGGCTGCCAGAGGGGCCCGCCTTAGGGCACAGTACCCAGGGCGAGGACAGCATGGCCCCCAGCATGGCCCCCGGGAGTGAGGACAGCACAGCCACCCCCCAACATGGTCCCAAATATAAAGCGACCCAAGCACTGAGCTCCACTGCACCCTCACGCACAGGACACCCCAAGGGAAAGCTCAGCATCCCCGCAAGTGTGGTGGCCATGAGGCCACAGCCCTGGCGTCCTGTCAGGGAGCAGAGCCCTCCCCAGACACCGCCTCGGTCACAGAGCCAGCCGGGAGCCGCGCCCTCTGGTCAGCGGCCGGTGTGCTTTACCGCGGTGTTCACAACTGTG